TGCAGACCACACACCATAAGAGACGACGGCCAAGAAAAAAGCTTTTCTCTTGGCCGTCGTCTCTTATGATGTGTGGTCTGCACTCGATTTTCTTCTCGTCTTCCGAAATAGAGTATATGTGCGCTACTGTATGCGGTTGCTAGGTTGCAGGGAAAGCGAAAGGTGCCATTTTGGCGGTTAAAGGTGCGCCAGGTGGAGCGCAAGTAGGCACCAAACCTAAAAACCACCTCGCCTCAAAACCGCCCCGCCCACAGGGGACGTTCGTAAACCCAATATGATTATCATCCCGTTTTCACTCTGAGGGCGCATTTTGTGCTTATCAGTCACATCTTGTAATCTTTTCATGTGTTTTCGTTGTAATCTTTGTTCATATTCCATCGTGGTACCCTTTTTCAAACACCCACTGCTTGGCCGTTAACTCGTCCAGAACCCCAAACGTTTGAGGTCCCATTTCGAGGGTTCCTGATAAATTCTCTGCTCTTTTTCGCCATTGACGTGCGCTTTCGTACCCGCACTCCCACAACAAACCCACCCAGAATCATCGTACTCACGCCTTTGGAGACTTTTCAGAATCAGCTCCGTCCTTATATGCCCAAATTCCGTGAACTTTTTCCGATTTTTCTCTTCAAATGATTAAATGTAATCTCTCTGATGATCTCAGACTCCGGTTTAGAAAGACATTGATCAATTTTCGGTTTTTCAGGCAACCATGCCTCGCATGACGTGTGCTCATAAAATGAGCAACAACAAAAAGCTCGAACGGGTCGACAATCTAATCGCATTCTTGAAAGGCGCCAGCACACAACAGGTTAGCGCAAATGTTGTGTTTTTAGAGGTTTGTCACATTTGCCTTACGGTCTCGCACATATTCTATTCATATGGAATCAATTTGATGAGTTACCAGTAATTTTTAGGTGGGGTTCCCTTGGGTTTTTAAAGGGACCATGGTGGTGGAGGAAATACGCTAAAATGGATGGTGACGTGTACGTAGAATTTGCTGTTTCAGGAGCTGTATATGTACCCCGAGATTTAGCCATTGCAATTGATGAACACAATAGCTGTCGGTTATTTCATTGACTTGGAACATCTCTCCCCTCCCCCTTCGGGTTCCATACCATGAATCGAGACAATCGTCTCCTGCTTGCCTGTGGGACTCCTAAAGTTGAAAGATAAAGAAATTCACAAAGACGAAGTTCGAATAAGGGGAAATTTTCCTAGTGGAGAGGCAGGTGGACCTCCTGCGAACCAACCGACACGCAGCTTGTATCAAAGCGTATGCCTCCGACGATCTGACATGGCCTTTCCGGTGCGCTATTGGCGCGGTACCTCGCGCTGTCACGTGTCTGACTCTCTAGCCGTTCAGCGGCGAGAGAGCGCTAGCGTTAAAGAGGGCAGCACCGATGAGAGTCGCATCTAGGCGGAACCGACGGGCGACTGGCCATTTTCATGGTTTTTTTTTCTAACGTGCATCACTGATCACCTCTAACTAAATGTCACTGGGCTCCATTTTCATCGTAAAATCCGTCTTTAAATACGACGTTTTAGAGCTTATAAATAAACTAAGGTTACGGTGAACCATGAACTTCTTTGCTATGGCAAGGTTGACACCACCTGCCTATCACAGCTAAGCCAGGTAGCTAGCTATAAGGGACTGGTTCTCCACTAATTGACAACTGTAAGGGCATGAGCCTCGCATCCGACCCTGTCCACAACCATAGGATCGTACGGAAGCATTTTGACCTAGACAATGACCTGCACGGGCCAACCAGGGCTAGAGCTATTACTTCTGTCCTCCCCGATGATTACTCCTCAACAAATAACCATCAGGAATATAATGCAGGCTCAACAAGACGGTTTCGTATCTCCAAAGCAGGAAACGAACTTCCACAGCCACTACCTGTGCCTAATCAAGCCTATATGAAGCAGATGGAGTCAAATTCACCAGGGTCAACCGTCCGTTGGACAAAGTCCAACGCATGGCTCTCTAGCGTGTGAGAGTAATGCCGAGAGTGAACGTACGCACGGAGACACAGACGGCTCGCGCAAGGCGAGTGCGAATGCCGGCGCGGAGAGCGGTCAACGTCGGTCCAATGTCGGTCCAACGTAACGGTTGACCCTGCTCCACTTGCACTTCACCAAGCCTAAATAAAGCAGATGGAGTCAGTTTCTTGTTTAATAAATTTTAGAAGGTTTCACGGCACTATTTACCCGTTTGTGCCCCAATCCTCATGAACTTACAATTGAACGCATTCCACTCGAAATTTGTTTATGACTAAAGATTTGGCAAAAAAAGTAAGGTACTGAACGCCGGAGAAGCGGAATTTGTGGAGTGCAATGGCACGCCTACATGTGCGCGTTCTCGGGATCAAATCCTGGGTCGTGAGTCGCCCGGGCCAACCAAGCCTTCCATCCCTCCGGGGTCGGTTAATTGGTACCAGACTTGTCTGGGAGGATAAAAACACTGACTTGAACATCGGCTGGCCCCCGCAAGTCATTGTATAGGCCACATCGCATTCAAACGCCACTACGAATGTACAAATGGAAGTAGAATGCGTGCCGCATCCCAAAAAGGGATTGATCAACGGCAAATGCTTTATCCTTTTTATTTTATTAACTTCAGAAGTATTTCAACCCGTAGAACACGAAAGGCACATCAGTCTTCTGTGAGACCACTCAGCGCCTGCGCCACAGACGCCCAAGCCACCACGACAGCTTTGCGTGTCTGCGCCCGTAGCGCAGGCTACATGCTCATACGCAACGAACTAATGTGATACTCTCATGTTCTACAGGTCTAACTTCCTCCAACAACAAGTTTCCAGCAAATTTGGTGGTCCAAGATGCTTCTGGGGCTCCTGGCGACGGCACCTGTGACGCGGGTGCCATTTTCGCGCTAAAATGTGATGTTCGTATTCTACGGGTCGAATTACCCCGAAGCAAGTTTCTAGCCAAATTCACAGTCATGGACCAATTTCGATAAAAATCCGGCTCAGTTCTCGAGGAGTGGGGCAGTAAAGGGTAAATAGTGCCGGTTACACTTCACACACATTCGCTAAGAGAAGATAACGGGAAGGCAGAGCGCATAGAGAACAAAGTCCGTGCGCTGGTCTCACGCTATCTAACCCTCTTATCTTCACCGAGTTGCCTAAGCCTGATTAAACTGCCGTCTCAGAACGCTGACAAGAATTATTCCATCTGACGTGACCAAGAGTATGGGAAAATTTCGGATGGAACCAGCATGGGAAATTCTCATATAGAAAGAAGAGTAGCGGTTGGGCGTTACGCACGATTTCATTTAGTTTGGCGGTGAATAACGCCCTTGGAGAATGCCATGCATTTGACTTCCGTCCAAAATCTCATGGTTAGAATACTTGAAAGCACATTAATTTTATGCAATGATCCGGGGGAAAACGCTCCCTGGATTTTTAATTTTTCTAACTTTTTCACATCTATATCCTTGACTATCCAGACTGAGAAAGATGAAAGGGCATTGATTTCAACGATGAAATATTACTGAAAAACAAATGCAGGCGCTCATGTCTAGGGAGAACATTCGAGTGAGTGAGCTACTTATTGTACTTGGGTCTAGTCTTAGCGTTAGGGAGAGGAAGGGCTCCTGGGGGAGGAGGTGAGCAATTTTTGTACACCCTGGCACTTCTCCCCTTTCTGGGCTTATTAGTGTCACTTACTAGAGGTTTTCAAAGGTTTTAAACGTACCTCCCAAGGCCATGAGCGCCCAAGTGCAACCCGACGTTGCATGTATTTCCAGTGTTTTTGAATTTTTTAGAAAAATGTGGTATTTCAGATGTCTGCCAAATTACACGACATATGGGCTGCTCCACAGGCGACGATCACTGAGGCACGGCTACTTCTAACCCTAGGTATCCTTCGTTACTAAAGGCACATTAACCGACAGGAGGCCTGTCGCGCGGCGAGAAGGCAGAGACGCAGACGGGTCAGCGGACGAGTTCCAGCGCGTATTGGGCGATGCGGATGTACTATGGTACATTTATTTGACTTGACGCGGAAATCGTCGCAGTACGCGCTAAGCGACTCCTTCACTGAGCGCTTGCGTCTCTGCCTTCTCGCCATGCGACGGGCCTCTTGTCGGGTACCCCACACGCGACTGAGTAGATGGTCATCGCGCATGAAAATAGAAGTGAGGGGCCTGCTACCGCTTCCGTTATGCTCTCTCTGTCGTTGCGTGGCGTGACCATCTATATTGTGGATAATTGTCCTGGAGTCCTAACTTTAAAGGAGTGTGCTATCTTTTTTTGAGCTCTTTTGAGCTGTTTTTCTCTATTTCGTTCATGTGCAGAGTATACTTTCTTGGTGCCGCGATCTTCTTACGGCCGCAAATGTTGTTGTCTTAAGTTTGAACCCTTATTCATAAGCGCGCTATACGGAATGCTTATAAGACGCTATGGCCAAAGACGCTGAATGGACCGTGTCGCAGGACAGTGTGCGATAAGTGTGTGTGAAGTTCAACGACTTTTGGAGTTTTGCTGGAAAGGATCTATGACGATGTGCCGCAGGGTAGGATAGACCACGCGCTCATCTTGATCTGCTCAATCGAATTCGTCGTATTTTAGCGCTCATCAAATCGTGCGGGTCGCAATGCCGTGGTTTTGGCTGGCAATGTGGTATGGACGGTGGCGGTATTGCGTGGGTCTCGTGTACGTCGTTGCTGATATTGGCCTCAAGCGGCGGTTACTTGGACGAGACTGGTCAACTACTTGGATAGGCACTAGGTTAGCGAGATTTACTTGGGTTACTGACCTTTTGCGCTCGCTAAGAACTTGCAAGTAAGTTGCAAGTCAGGAGCAAGTGATGTGCTCGAAGCATGAGGTTATCGATATGCAGGGATTCGTATTCCGAATAACCATTTCTCTAAAGTGTTCATGAGGAAGTACGTCGAAAGCTCTCTGGTGTAGTCACGCGATGTTTTGGGGATGCTTACTAGATTGTTCTCCACACCTTCCTTGATTTTGCAGCCTGGATGAATGTGCCTTGTCAAACGGGCCAATGGTGAGCTCAGCGAATGTTTCTTTCTCTATTGGAATATGAAACGACAAATATTCCTCGAAGGTTCCACCATGTCGCGATTGTTCGGCGATCAAGTAAGCTTTTCACCTCTTTATCACCCTTCTATAATAGCTGTCTCTGTTCGATTGTTATTTTCTCCGGGAGGAGCCCCTTTTCCCATACGTGTCGTGCTGTATGTCACCGGCAATGTCCGTCGTGAGCCGCCATGACTGGAATCCTGTAGACCTTTGTGCTGGCCAAATAATACTGATGGACGCGCCAGAACTACGACAAGTGTTTTTAAGCTGGTGGATGGCCGACCTGGGCGAATCGTGTGAGAGAGAGAGAGAGACGAAAAAAAGACCATGAGTATGATAAAGATTCACGGAATACGTCAATCACAGTGTCCACTGTCTTTGAGTATTTTTGAGCTTTTCCTGAGCTCTGTACGGATTTTTTTTTTAGTTCCGGACATTTTCTTAAGATCACTTATTCAGGTCACGACACAAACGCGGAACATCGAAAAGGTGCTGTCGGACTGCTTCCCAACGCAATCTTTCCAGAAATGCGATCGACGTCTGACCGTTCCTGCCCTTGACATCTCAATGGCTCCTGCACGACTACATATCTTTAGGTGAGATTTCCAGGAATTAAGAAGTGGGAAGATACCCACTATTATGATAAGATGAGTGCTCCCAAAAGCACGTCTACAAACTCAAAGTGCCCACAGTCTTCAAGGCAGATTCATTGTTATGAGACTGTAAGTTATCCTTTGAGCACAAAAATCCCATTTTAGGAATTACTCATTCACACGCCCTTTCGGTGCCCCACTCGATGAGGAGCAGGACATAATGTTCAAGGACGCCGCCCGAGCAAGCAGGTACGGTAGCACATTCTTCTTCTTCTCTTTCCTTCTCTGCTTTTCTTTTTGGGGACTCGGCGGTAAGAAACACCTGGCTAGTGAAGGGTGACATAGACACTGCTACGGGACTTATCTTCATGGGGGTACTCTGAAACTTCGAACAGCACACACACGCAAAAAATGGATATTGATTGTGCGCGCGCAAAATCAATACTCGTTTCAAAGCACACCTATTCTCATAGAACTGTTCGGGTGTGAAGCCAAGCTCGGAAGATCAATGCTGAATGATTTCAGTGCAGCACCGACGTATTTCGAGCCGTTCAGCTACCAGGGCAAGAAGTTCGTCGACGGGTCTTTCGTGGCCAACTACCCGCTGAATATCCTTTTCAAGGTAAAGCTTGGCATTATTCCATGGAGAACGACCTGCCCAGTGATTCCTTGAGCACCTCCATCATTCACGTCATATTTCATGATTATTTACGTTGTTCTCATTTTTTCCCTCATTTTTGTGTTCTCTACCTGCCTTTTTGTGGCCAACGCAAGCCAGTAACACCCTTTTAAAGGAATCTGGTTGTATCGGACACTGCTACTCATAATCACGGTAACCTCGGTCCTATTAATGAAGTATGCTCAACACGATGTTCTAGGATTTGACTCGTTCTCGAAAGTCACAATAACAAAATCCGGACTGGCTCCTGTGTGTTTTTCGATTGTACCGGAACACCGCACAATCGAGACGAGTACATTCATACGCACCACGATTCGATCACAGAGCCAATAACATGCGGCGCATCTCAGTACCTCTGTATTCTTGAACAGGTAGGGGACTTATACCAGGAACCCATCCTAACCTTGTAGGGACTTGCAAGTAGCTCCTTGAGCGCTGAGCTAGTTTCTAATTTATGCCTTTCTGCTTGGGTATTCTCTTCGCCAACAAAATGGCGCATTGGCTAGAAGAGCAACGCTCTGCTGCATATTTCTGGGATCGAGTCAGCTAAAATCAGCCGTTCCAATGGTCAACGATAACTGTCGAAACCGCGCATAAATTTTTTATAGGACAAAATATTCGTTTCCAAAATTGCCCCCCCCCCCCTCCCTAGACCCCGAAAATTCCACAGTATCTAGAATGCACTTCATCGCCCATCGAAAGATTATATGTAGCTGCTGCGCCCCAAAAATCATAACTACAGTGCGTTTCAAAAGTATAAAGCCACCCTTGAATGAAGCTGTTCCAAGTTAGAATGAAGGTTCCGTGATTTGATGAATAGTTTATCGAATTCAGCACGCTCTGAAACTATAGTAAACTTTGTTGTACAAACCACTATAAGCTAGAAACGGTTCCATAAGAAAATTTGAAAAACTCCCCTGTTTCAAAAGTATAAAGCCACCCCGGGCGAGTAGGCAACAGCGGTAAAAATTTTTGTTCCTGTTAACTCATTTGGAGTTCTTTGGCCATAATTAGCACAAACACATTACGTCTTCAATATATCTCGTGGATCTACGTTTTCTTTGGAAGAGCAAGTTCGTGCGAGGACGTTACATCGAGCTGCCCATTCAAATCGCTCCATTGCTGCTCAACTTGGACGTTCTCAAAGCTGTATCGACATTTCTTTTGAGGAATCCAGCTTATCATGAAAGGAAAGATCCCTGAAAGGTCACGTGTTCTGCTTGAGTATTATATCCGCCATATTAAACGATCCCTTTCCAATTCTACTGCGACCATCAGTCAGATCCGATACGAGCTCTCCCTTTTTGCTTCGAAAAGTTCCATCTGGAGGGTCGCTAACTCTGCTCCAAATATCGTGCGACAATCCATGATGAAGACTCCACGTCCGGAACAGCATCACAAAGCACCTCGTCTCGAACTCGCCCGGAGGAACATGCGAACGAGTTGGGGTTCGGTAGGTGATTCTACGGGGGTAGGGAGACACTTTCATCATGACGTTTAGTTAATGTTGTAGTGTTCAGTCATTGCTTGGTTGAAAGAACTACTTTAGACGGCCGCGTGTGGGTCATCACAGATTCTGGAGAGATTTTAGCAAAGATCCGCTGGTATTTAGCAGGAGAGACTTCGGTGGTGGCGCATAGATGGTCTGAGCTGCATTCTACAGCGATGCTGTGCTCCCTCTGTCTTTCGTCTCGTGTCAAATGGACCCCAGTGAGAATCAGGATGCTTTTCTTAATGATCTTCTCTCGTTTCTGTGTGGAAGTCGTCGGCAAAACTTCATCTTTATGCACGCAACACCGGGTTTACGTCAACAAAATCAGTGTACTGGAATGGCCTGCTAGCAGCCTAGATCCAAATCCAATAAAAAACACCTGGGGTATCATTGTCCGACAGATATACGCGTATGGAAAGCAGTACAGTAACGTGGGAGACCTCAGACAGCCATCGAGACGTTTTCCTACCACCTGAATCCCGCTATACTTCTGAAGCTCACGGATAGTATGCCAAATGGTCTATTAAATCTCACTTCTAAAAAAGGAAGTCACGCTAGTTACTAATATTTACGATGTTCACTTTTTCTCTGGAAAAATAGAGTTATGTTGCAAGTGGCTTTATACTTTTGAAACAGGGGATATTTGGAAATCTTCTTATAAAAATGTATGTGAATCATTTTGCTTCCTGAAATAAAGAGAACAATGGTTTCCAAACACGCTGAATTCAATAAAGTTTATGGCAAGCCATGAAATACTCACCTTAACTCGGAAAGTTAGTTTTCCACTGGGTGCTTATACTTTTGAAACGCACTGTACAGTAACACAGTGCAATAATTGATTTACCATTTCGAATAAAAATCAAACAAGAAACGGCTAAGAATCAACCAAAACTGCACTGCGCGCTTCTTATCAATGTGGCGCGACTGCCCCTGCCGAGCCTCATTGTTCTAATCATCTATTTATACTAACTCTATTCTGGTATTATGTAAAAGAAATGTTAATGCGGTGAGAATTCACTAGGGCGGGGCCGGAAACCCTGCCTGCACACGGTCGCGCAATTGACTTTTAATTTCCCTAGCGTGCGGTTTGTTTCAGTTTTTCACTATCACAACTGGTTGAACAATTACACAACTACATTTCGGTCGCAAAAAACGACACCTATTCAACACAGAAGTGCCTCATAACAATAAAATGGAAGTCCCATATCGTGCCATCCTATGCATTTGATCCACCCTCCTCTACCTCTTTGTACGCCATCTCCATGACAGTTCTGGAAAAAGAAAAGGGAAAGAGGTCTTCTTGACTAAGATTTTCTGAGTGTTGCAACCAGCAGATAGCCCTAACTGGTTCCGAAAAACTCGTGTTAAAGTCCGAGACCGCACCTACAGCTTAAAAGTCCCTATTGATCGATAAATCTTCAGGTAGTCGGCCAAGATCTCACAACCGTCGAAATGGCACAGGAGCGCTGCCATGCCCACAACATACCGTTCGTACGGATAAGTCCCAAGGTAGCTCCCCTGCTTACCGATTGATCCATATCGATTAAATTGATCGATTACAGGGATCAAATTGACGACGGTAAATTAATGGACATGATCTGGACCACGCAATTATGGCTGGTGAGGCTACAATTGTTTGAGAAGCTTTTCTCGACACTGCAATGTTAAGAATACGTATCGATCTGTTGCAGGTGGACAATCTACGTGAAGTTGACAAACTCGGCGAATTACTTTTCAAGTTGCTTTCTGATCCGGACGATGGAAAGCGACGGAGCAATACAGTACTGTAGAAAGACGGCGTTGATTACGGTAGAATACATTAGCGGCAGTGGATATTTAACAAATTACGGCTATCCCTTTGTGAATGTTTTCCATATGTTTTTTCGTATTGCATTTAGTTTTTCCTAGATAACTTTCATCAAATATAATGTTAAAATCATATTACAAGTTTTAGGACCCTATAAGCTACCTTATAGGCTTTGTTTTTTGTTAAAATACTGGTAACTTTTTATTTAGCGCTGAATTTTAGTGAAAGGCCCTGTCTAGGCACCATACGCTGCAGCTTTCGGATCGGGGCAGGTTTTGTGGGGAACAAAGAAGCTTTCCACCACAACTTTTCCAAAGTTCACAGAGGCGTATTATAACAGCATTTTAAAGCCATAGAGCATGTATAGTGAAGTGGGCGGAGCTTCCGCAATGGGGCGGAGTTCCCGCAAAGCTTTTTTAAATCAGCACAATTCAATTTCGCATGAAGTTTCCGAAAACGAAAACTTCGAAAAGTTGAAACAAAGCTGATTGTTCGGCGCTAACTGATGTGGTCCGTCAACAGTCCAAAAGGGGCGGAGTTGCGCACAAAAAGTTGCGAGTTGCTCTCAAAAGCTGTTTTTCAAAAAACTGCTGCGCTTGCGACCAATAGGAGAAAAAGCTGTGCTACCACCGAAAGTTGCTCAGCTTGGCCATTTAGTTCTAGATGGCGACCTATGTCCCAAGCTATCGATGCTTTTTGCCATTTTTCGGAACCTAGGGTCTCCTTTTCTTGTGCCACAGGATACCGTATACTAGGGCTGCAGGACACTTTGAAGTTTTACCTATATTTTATCCCTAGAGTATTGTGCAATATTCTTGCGGCGA